AAAGAGCTATTGACCGTAACCAAAAAAGAAAATGACCTGCCTATTTTCACTGTCCAACTGAGTGAGTTGTAAGAACTAAATAAGCAGTAACTTAATTTGGTTTATGGTTGTTGCAGTTGCAATAACTTAAGTAGTTTTATCATCTTATTAATCTAGGTATCGTGGGTATTGCTAAGGCAGCTATCACCAAGGTTTCTAAGTGCCACATACCTTATGTGAAGTATGTGTTTATTTAAAATGTTTGCGTTCCAGGAGCACCTCACGAAAAATAAATCTTGTTTCATGACTTGCCCAATGAGACAAGCAGGCATACAATCAAACCCCTGTGTTTTTCAGAGGCCTCTGAATCCGAAACCTTCCTGCACCATCAGATGGTGCTTAGGGCACGAAAAGGTGCTACCATCCCTGTCTAGCCCGGGTTGCTGCTGGCATGTCCTCTATGTTGTTAAGTCCCATAAATTACAGCTTAGGAGGGGTCACTGGGCCATATAAGCCTTCCCACCGTGTCAAGGTGAAGGCCCCAGGGAAGGTTTCAGAAGCCTAGACGCGCAATATGATATAGGACACTTTGGATGGGTTTTTTTCAAAGGCCTGCACTGAACACAATACCAGTCACCATTTCAGGGTTTTTTCTATTGGCAAGGGCACCCTTAGATACACGTCAAAAATATCAGTCACGCCACATGGACCTGCATTTCAACGAAACAAAGGACCAGGACATGAACGATGCAGGACAAAGCGTATTGCTAAGGTAGCGCACCCCACAATGGTCTATTGATGGGACCAAGCCATAGATGGTACACAAATAATCAAACATTTGTATCACAGCATATGAGACTTTGTGTGCCTTTTGTTTCTGAAACATAGCCACGTTGCTTCCTCTATGGCCATGATACAGTAATGGGCCAGCAAGCACCAAATAAGGTCCATCACTTACACCGAAAGCGGAGTAATCACTTTAGGCTGGCTCTTTTACTGGGACAGAGTGCGTGATCCATTTGGCTGGAGCTGTGATCCCAAAAGGTAAAAAAAAATGTACTTTTAAACTGCAGTGCCTGGCCCTGAAGCACAGCGCACATACTGACCTAATTTCTTTTTTTACGCATTAGCCCTTTGCAAGCCAAGCTGGCCCTGTTAGGTACTTTAAACACTGATTAACAGCAGATGGGCACGTTGTGCAGCTGGGTTATCAGTGCACAGACAAGGTGCACGCTTGCCCTGTGTGCTACGTTTTGGAGGGGGCTGAATATTGGCCCAAAGGGTTGTCGCTACATTTGCAAACCTTGCACGTGAACCCCGACCAACTTTGCCGATGGCATCTAGCCGGCATGCCAGTGCAGGCTGCAAGCCTGGCCCTTGTCCATCGCTGATGGCCTTGAGTCTTTGGGGCTGGGGGGGTGTGACAGTGGAGAAGGAGCCCCTGCAAAGCACATGCCCTGCGGCCAGCCCAGGTTGCAATGGGCATCTCTTGGCTGGCTCCCCTTTCCCTGTAGGCTGCTGCCCTCTGCTGAGCCAGCCTCCCTGCAGCAGCCCCCTTCGGCCGCTAGAGGGACTCTGAGCGGCAGCCTGTCCGGAAGCGGTTTCCGTTTCCTGTGCGCTGCCCGCCGGGAGGGGCCCCGTGCAGGTAGGAGCGCGCGCCCCGGGCCCAGGCTGGAGCAGGGACCGCAGCGCAGGGCGGGCTGGGGGAGGGGCACCCGTGGAGCCGGGGGGGGGGCTGACTGGCCCCGGGTACTAAGGGGGAAGGGAACTGATCCCGGCCTGTCCCCTCCCCCCCGGGGGTGGGGGCGGTTCTCAGGCGCTACTTCGGGCTCAGGCAGGAATCTTGTGTCTCTCTGGTGCAGCGGTGTGCAATGGCATACACGTGTGTGCGACAGTGTGCAATGGCAGGGGGGTGGGTGCAAATAACGTGTGGGTGCAGCAGTGTGCAATGGTAGGTAGGGGTGTGTGTGTGTGTGCGCACAGCCCTGTGCAATGGCGGGGTGTGTGTGTGCAAGTGGCCTGTGTGGGTACAGCAGTGTGCAGTGACACACACGTGTGTGTGTCTGTGTGCAAATAGCATGCGTGGGTGCAGCAGTGTGCAATGGTAGGTAGGGGT